AATATTACTATAAAAATTGTATTCCACAATTTAATGCTTTGTAAATAAACTGTGACTGAAAGACGTACTACAAATAGTATTTTAGACTTTTTAACTATATTTTAAAAATCTAATTTAGTTAATTTCAATAAATAATATTATTATGTAATGTTATTTATCAAAAATAACTATGTATGTTGCAAAATAGTTGGGTTTACAAGTATCTACTTTAAAGAAAGCTTCGTGATTAATGTCTAACCAAGAAATCATGTTCTCATTCTCTTACTTGGAATTAAATCATTTTACACTGCTACTTTTTATTTATTTTCATCGACATGTTTATAAGAATTTTACTGTATCTTTGTGTAATAAACTAACTTTTAACTACTGTTGTAGTACTTTTATACAGTTAAGGGCAGGTGTTAAGGCAGCTGCTCTGTGCACGCGCCTTTATTTAGAAAAAATAGGTAATTAGGGACTAAGGTTCCAATAAATACTAAGATGATAATTTCTTAATAAAAAAAGTATTAGTGCAAATATTTTTCATTCCTTTATATTAATTAGATCTATAATATTTGCATGAGCCATAAATAACGAGACAGATAAGTTATAGAGATGTATCTAAAGATGTTATTTGCTAAATATAATATTATACGTTTTCGATACAGCTCCTTGGATTATTAGACTTCATCTACGTATTACACTTAAGTAGTCAAAGGAAGGCTAATACTACAGTACGTAGTATATAATAAAAGAATGAAATATCGAAAACGACATCTTCAACAGCAGAAAAAGTGGGAACAGTTACAAGTGCCACAGTGGTAGTTAAGGTGTCCGGATCTATGTATTATGCAAAGTGGATAGTTTGTAGGGGATCGTAATGCTTTCACTGAGTATTACTCACATTTCATTTTTTATTTTAGTATTAGGCAGGAGCAACCTGTCATGGTGTCAAATAAATTTGTATTTACAAGAGCGATGGATATTAGGGACTATAATAAAAATCAAGAGATAATCTTCGATTATTGAAAGACTTCTGTAATGAAAAAAAAATCTTTCAATTATAATTGTATTTTAGTAGAGATATTTATATCATTTATTAGTACAATGACCAAATATAATAAACGAGTCTGCATTGCGCTAACCATATACGTATAATAACACTCCGTAACGAATAACAACAATATACGCACACCGTTATTTTTTGATAAGAACTCAATTTTATATTATATTCACAATTTCCGCATGTTTAATTGAGGATTTACGAGCAATTATTCACATGATGGTTTCATGCTCATAAAACAAAGCCAGCTGTTTCAAGGTGCTCACAGTGCAACTAATAAATAGGGCTATGAGATCATGAATAAATTGTAATTAAAATAGCGTTAAATGCCAACGTGTTTCAATTAACCTTCCGTGGTTCAGTAAACAGCTCGTTACTTTTGTATATGTACCACATATAGCTACTCAGTTGGACATGCACGTGGCACATATTTGACGGTATTCGTGGAAAAATGATTACATATTCTTAGCGCAAATACCAATAGATTGTTATGTGTGCGTGATGATTATAGGTAATTATCGACGTTGGTGTTGTGGAAAATACCTTCAATATTTACGTATAAAAAATATCAGTTTGTTGAAGGTAGATGACAAACTGGGTGGCGCAAATGTGAGAATGATAGAAAAGAATAAAAAAAAGATAATTATTAGCTAATGCTGCTTTTTTTTCACCCACGATGATAACATGTGAAATTTATTAGCTTTTAACAATGTGAAATAATAATTAGGTAAAATAAACACCTTACTTAATAATATTTATTATTCTGTTCTACTATTTCTTTATTGTGAACTCTGTATTTTAGACTATAATTTCATTATAAAATAAGATAACAAACAGACAAACAATTATAGTTGTCAATTTAGAGTTAAAAATTACCATGTCTGTTAAAAGTCTGTAAAAGGTACATTAGGTACAAAATGTACATTTGCACGTATTTTTTGAACACCAATCTACTGTGTGTGAGATAACAAAATTTAGATACTTATTTACATTTTACATGAAGCGAGATTAAAACTTTTCTCTGTTCATGTGTATAAAAATTCATAAGGCTATTTCACAGACTTATTTCGGCCGACGAGTGAGCAACAATACGAATGTTAATTCCGACATTTTACACGACCTCCACTTTTAATTTCTCACTCTGTATCTAAGTATTGGCCACGACATGATTTCGCAATTATTGGACCAGATTTTAAATATACGATATTCATATTTCTATTTTAAAAAGTACCGCATGTTCTTTTTATATTCTAGACATATTTTATTCATGATAAAATAAATGAATGAAATTATGCAAAACATTTTTTTATAAATTCGTTCTCTAAATCTTTCATAATAATCGGCGCCTTTTAGTCTGTCGCAGCGTCGGGCTGAGCCATTAAATATTTTCCATGAGATTTATGCTTTGAAGGAACTGCTTAGTTTTCCTGCCATTATGTCAGTGGTTCGCCTTGAATCTGGCATTCTATTCATTCCTGCGCTTGCGCACGTGGGCCTTCTATCTAATTATATACTTGCTATAAAGCAATATACGAGGTACGAGCGTCAATCACATTCAGAACAGTATGCGTTGAGCATATGAGTTCGTTAGATATTGCATTTATTAAATTGATAAAATACATAGTACTAAACAGATCTGTCTGTGTACAATATTACATAAGTACATAAAATTATAAGAAAAAATTGACATAATTATTATATTGTGAAAAAAATATTGACATAAATATAAAAACAACTGATTGTGATATACAATTTGTTCCGTTAATGTTACCTCATAACAATATGTTCTAAGACGCAGTGCCTTCTCTGGAGTTTATTAATAGACTCTTTTATCTTATTAAACACTCCCTTTTGTATTCATGAATGTTACTTAGCAGACTTGTACATATTATTCATCTTATGTCATCAAGTGAAGTAGAAAGTGTTGAGTCAGGTGTGCTTACACTTCAAGACATGCTGAATTTATTCTATAAAATATAGCACCGTTGTTAAACTAATACTTGTCATTCGGACTATTTTTATTACTTAATGCACTGTAGACTATTAGCGGTGATAATAAAAATTAATTTATTAAGATGAGAATCCTTACTAATATTATAAATGTGAAAGTAGGGATGTTTGTTAAGCTTTCACGATAAAACTGCTGAACCTATTATCATGAAATTTTGTACACGTTGTACCGAACTCATTGATAGGTTTTTATACTATTTTTTAATTTTATAATAATATTCTTTGACATATTCTTTATTGTTCACTTTCTATTATATATCGCTGTCATACTAGTCGCATTTCATTTAATCTCCGTATTTTCCTCATTAAAACCCTCAGCACCTCTCACTCATCAGACACATTTGATACCTCCGCTTCACACGTGTTCTTGGAGGTATTAGAATGAACATATTTATTATTTTTTAAATATAAAGTATCCTATTACTTTATATTGTAATGATCTCCGATACTTATTTAATGGATTCAATGCGAGCGAAGCCGCGGCTAGTAATTAATAAAACAGTAATGAAATATGCTAACATCTTGTTATATATAATACGTGCAATAAATGGGATAAGGAAGATGCTGATGATGATACTTGCAATATCACTTTATCTATTATATCTATTGGACCAAATTCTGAGTTGGTGTATTTCACATTTTCAAAGCGTCGAAAGTTTAATTCTGTTCGAGTCAATTAGAGAATTTTGAAGAACCTGACTCTATAGTATACTATCACTACCGCCACTTCAGACTTACCCGGGTTTAAAAATTTAAATAATATATGAGTCTGTATATACTATTCAAAGGGGAATAAAGCCAAAATACAATATTTATTATTCTATAGCCCCTAAACTCTAGCAAAAAATTTAGTGGTAGTTTTATGTAGGAGACAATATACATGTTATACATATTACATCTTACATAAATCGCAACAAAATAATCTATAACTTATGAATCGGTGTGTAGACTAGATTTTGATCTTGACTATTGAATTATTAAATCGCGAAATAATGCTATGCATACCTACGTTTTTGCAAAATATCTTTGCAGAGGTCGACTCTCGTATGAATTATTAAAAGCGATGTTAACGGTGAGTTGAGATGATGGAAGTACAAACTGTAGAAGCAGTAGTTTAAGTAACAAACAAACTAGCAAAGGCAGATTAATAGAAGAACTTCTTATTTTAAAATCACTTTATAGGAGATCGTCTACTTGGGTACCACAGTCTCACCTATTTCAACCACCAAGCTGTTTGTGTCATCAACTCATTTTGTAAGACGTGTTTTGATTGATGGCGTAAGGACTCTTTCTAATAATAAATGTGAAATTACAGGATAAGAAGCATGACATGCTCTTGAATACTAAACTGAGGAACGGCAAAACAGTACAGCGGGCTCACATGATAAAGTGATGTAGTGCAGTTTATATATATATAATACAAGTAGATAGGCGACGATTACCATTTACTATGAAGTAGGCAGTCAATTTGTTTATCATTCAAATCGTATAAACTTATTATAAAAATATGATAAAACTAATATGCAACTGAATTTTTTAAAATATTTTAATGAGTTCATTTAATAATAATACAGATCAGATAGTTGAGTTCTTCGTTGTCTTACTGTTGACTTGAGTTTGATCATATCATAAGATAGAGCTCGCGCATTTAACTGTATGCTGACTTTTTATGAATGAACAGGTGCCTCCGCCTACTAAATAATTTATAGGAATAGTTTAAGTAATTTGACATCAATTCATTAGAATGAACATAATTATTTTTTTCAAAAAACAGGACAACATGCTTGTATATTTATTATAAAAAAATAATGTTACCTATTCAGTCTTTAACAAATCCGTATTTTAACTGTGAGTTCACTTATATAACACAAAATTAATAAGTACTTATACAAAACACAAGGATGTTTTACTTTTAAATATATGTACATGTAATAAAAAAATTACTTACCCATTTTTAGAAATAGAAGAAGCAGTAATTATTTAATCTGAAAATAAGAAAAGTTTCCATAAGTCTATGTTATATTAAATTATATACTGTGTTATGAAATAATGTGATTGATTTTATTTTATTTTAGTGTTTATCGTGTTGAAGTCGTTATTATCATTTAAACGTATATAACTGTACTGCTTACCCGCGATTACGTCTGCTATTTTTAAATAAAAAATAGTCTGCGTTCATGATACAATCTATTTTTATTTAAATTTTCAAAAATTCGTAAGAAAAGAACAGACAGACACATTTTAGAATTTACATGTGCGTATTGAATGTTGTTTTCAAAGGCTCGACATACCTATATTTGAAAAGATCGATGTTATAATTATATCAATTTTTTATAAATTTCTGTTTTTCGATCATGCCTATTCTAAAGTATCTGCTGTCGTTTGCGTTTTGTTTTCTTGGTACAACATGAGCGCGGTTTAGCACTGCGTTGACAAACAGATGATACCGACTACCGACAAGCGTGTCGAAATTAAGCCGCGTGCCAAATTGACACCACGTCGTTTACCGATTTCAACTCGTTAAATATTTTGCATTAGGAAATAGCTATTATGAAAATAAATCATGATTTGTGACCGGGCTGTTACATTGACTTTATGTAACAACTTGATGTTGATTTTGGTTCATAGGTCGTAATGGTTCTTAGCCATGATACTACGTGTTTGTTGTTACCGGTTTGTTTTTTTTTTTATAACACAGGGGACAAACGAGCATGCGGCTCACCTCATGGTAAGTGATTACCGCCGCCCATGAGCACCCGCAACACCAGGGGAATTGCAAGTACGTTGTCGGCCTTTAAAAAGGAATAAGCTCTTTTCTTGAAGGTTTCAATATCGTATCGGTTCGGAAATACCATTGCTGGAAGGTGATTCCACAATGTGGTTGTGCGAGGCAAAAAGTTTCTAGAAAACCGTACTGTGGAAGACCGCCATTCATCCAGATGATCAGGATGGTATTGTACACTTTACTGGTAGACAATTTGTTTACAAGTTATTGTTGTAAAACTCTTTCAAGTATATTTTTTAACAAATTTGTATACCCAGTGTAAAATATATTATTTCTTCTAATTCTGTTGTCTGTTGTAAGATCTGTTCAGCTGTTTAGTAGTGACAAGGTAACCAATTTATAGTCGAATATTCATAGTTATGTAGTATATGTATTGGATTACATATTTAAAAAAAACGCAGTATTTGTTTTTTTACCACATCATCCACCACGATCTTGTACCAGATGACACTCACACGTGATGTTATTCACTGGCACCTCGATGACTTTGCATAAGTTGTATAAATCATTACTTAAACAATTAAACATGTTATAGGGTCATCATGGGCGCTGGGGCGGTGTCATGGAGTCAGGCGACTTTACTCATATACGCTTACGTAATCAATTACTTAATAAGCCACATCTACCTAATCGAGCGCCTAATCCACTCATCACATGATTGTATTATATATATATATATCATATACTATATACCTGTTTGTGTAACAACATATTGTGTAGGAAAGTTTAGTAATGACTGAGAAGAGATGCTAGACAGTATATAGTTGGTAGCGACCTATAGCTGCCAGATGAAGTGAGAATTATAATCAGTACTGTAAGGTATGAGATTTTATTTTTTTTGTAAAACACACAGAGAAATTAATAAAAGAGTGTTATATAGCATGCCTGATAATGGATAGATTTTGCTATTTCTGTTTGTAGAAACAATTTATGAAGCTGAATGCAAACTCATGTCTGACGCATCTAATCATCTGATGCATAATTTCATTTAGATTTCATTGTAATATGAAAGGGAATCGATCGACTTGTACATATATAATATGTCCATAACTAAAAAAAATAAGTTTAAAGGGACTACGTAGTATGGGGATAATTGGAGATAAGGGTAATTGTAATTTTTAGTTTTAATGGCTACCTACTCTCATATTCATAAATGACGAGCATTTGTTCGTAGTTTACAAATATGAGGCGATATGAGACGCGGAAAATATTTGTCTTTATTTAGAGACAAATATTTTCCGCGTCTAAAATGTTACAACTTCATTACGTTGTTAGGTTTTTAATTGGAACTAACGATATTTGACATCCGATACTGCAGTCAATTTGCTCTATGACTAATAAGCATGGTTGACTAAAAATAAAAATAGACAGATCTGATAAAAGAACAGACATTTTTAGTTAGCTAAGTATTATAAATGAATTACCTAAGCTAAAATGAAAGCAATGTGAGGCAACTGTCGTTTTCGTCGCGATACACGTTGTAATCGAATTGAACGGTTATGGGAATAGATGGAAACAAAAAAAAGTTGTCGATCAATTGTGATGGACGACTGAGTCGGAGCCAGGTCACGTTGAGGTAGATTAGATCATATTCTTGTTACTAACTCGAAATTAGGTAATTTCTGTATTAAATTATTTATTCAGCGTTACTAGTATGTTTTAGCTTTTAAGTTGTATAGTAAATAAGAATACTGTAATGCTGAATAAATATCTTTATAATGTCTTTAAATGTCTTTATTGGATGATTATAATACAATAGACAGTCGAAATATAGTTTATATTAGCCGGCACTTGTGTATTTACTTTGCATAAATATTTTCTGCAGTTTTATTTATAGTATACTCATACAATCTATATATAAATATTTAAAAATTCAATGGCATTCATGTAATAGCAATTAATTAAAGTTCTCCGCAAAGTCAGTTGATCGACAAACTTCTTCAAGTGTTTACAGTTCTATAGAGGACGGTGCCGAATAGAGGACGATTTACGAAACACGAGGTTAATTAGCGTCACTTGACGGCGCGCGCCAAGTACATACTGACGGCTCAATTATTACTCAAATGGGAACGCTATTAGGCGAGAAACTACTACATTATAAAGACGACTAAATGTTAACTCTACGCCAGATTAAGCACTGTGTCACCAATATTACAATTCTAAGCAGGAATTAACTTATCCCGAATACTATGTGCACAGTTCCTGCGAGGGTACTATTAATAACAGAACAGAGTATTATTTATTTAGTAAATTATAATTAATATAATTCATAAATATTTTAATTTTTGTATGCTACAAAAATATTAACAATTTATACGCTCTCATGCTTGTTCAACCCTGAACCTTTGGATATTTATTTGCTTAATTTAATTCAATCATTTGTACAATGAAGCAGCTACGAAACTACGAAAGCAATTAAATGTTTCCGCAAATCAAACATTTAAATAGAATTTATAAATTATTTTAAAATGTATCCACTAACGACGTCTTTATGTGGAGCCAGGAAATGTTACGATATTTGAAAAGTAGGTATGAGTAATGTTCCCTGCGGGAGATGCTCTAATGGTAGTCTTAATCGCTATCTGTAAGAAAATCGAGGTGTAATTAACATTAATCATGGTGATGTGGGCTCAGAGGATTAATTGTGAGCATTACACTACGGACGTACCGTCGGCGTCTCTCCGTCCACTCCTGCGCGCGTGATCTATGACACATCACCGGTTATGAATGAATTTGTGACAAAAGAATATCACGGAGGTGACGGTGATAAATAGCTGAACAGCATTTAGCAAAAGCCGAGACTAGCGTCATTACGCCTCGGATCTTTATAACTAATTAGGCGTCATGTAGAATAAAGATAGGATCACGTAATAGTGTAACATTAGGAAGATTTAACATGCTCCTCTCGCGTTTCGTATATAGTAACACTGTTAGTTGTTAGGTTAACAACTGTTACTATATAAATGTAGTGCTGTCCAATACTAGCTGTAATTTAGACTCTTTTAGCCTACAAAAAAAATTGGGTATAACTTTTTTTGTAGGCTAAATCAAAATATATCTTTTTAATAAAATCTGTGAAGATATGACTTCTATAAGCCGTTTTTATCAGAAAACATAATAGGTTTGAAATACCTAAACAGATAAAAATATATTTGCTAAAATTTATAAAAAGTACATATATTTCTTTATTTATTTATGCTAGAGTATTATGAATGCAAAAGTGTGTCTACTTCCTTAATTGTTACCTATAATAATAACACAGCTGAGCTGATTTTAATGTAATTTGGCGGAAAGATTATATCACTAGGATATGGTATAAAAAAATATACCAAGTCTCGCAAAACAGTTTTAAAAATTTTCTGAGACCAAATTTTTAAACACTAGACAATTTAATAAAAACAAAAACGGTGAAAAGCGCTCAAATGGCACGCTGGCAATTTTCATAATAATAACCGCATTTTTCAGTGCAATATTCTTTTGCGAAGTGGGATCGCGTGTCGGCAACCCGCGTGCCTGGTTCCACCGGTGTCCCGGCGCGCCTGTCGCTGCTGTCATGTCTCTGGTCACGCCACTCACGCCACCTCGCCAGCTATGGTCTCCGCCACCGACGCTGGCGCCGCGCCGCTATCCGCCATTTACAACTACAATTGCTTACCGAATATAAAAAATAAAACAAAAAGAAATATAGAAATTAAAAAGAAACAAGACATTGCCAAATATCGCACATGATTATGAATTACAATTGTTCACCAAACAAAAAGAAAATCAAAAGTAATCAGAATAAAAAAATGGAAACACGATACCTATAAATACAGCAGGTCTTTAGTTAGGTTAAGTTAAAGTTAATCTAGTGTTTAGTCTATATTCTTAGTTTTATTTACTGCACATCAAATAAAAAGACCAGCCAATTCCAGATATCTAGGTTTGGGAACCTGCTGACCCCAGAGTCAAAGCCGGGGCAAAGAAGGTCGTCCTGACCCTCAACTTGCACCTTCCTATGGGACGTATAGCGACCAGATTCGTTTTCCGACTTGATGATCAATGTATGTATTATTAGTTCGACTGCGTCAACATATGTACATGTTTCAACAAAATACAAGTTTATAGACGAACCGCAGTGTAAAGTATGTCTAACGCTTAGTGCATATGATTAGATGAGACTTTTGTTGATTAGTAATGTTTTTTTTATCTAAAATTGTG